GGGGGGGGGAGGGAGGTGTTTTGGGCTTACATAGATGTTCTTGAACTACTTCAGCAAATATAGAAAGGATGGTGAGTTCTCTATGCTATACAGGTTTCCCTCACCAGCCACTGGGGTTAGGTTCCGGAAAGTTCCTGTGGTTGGCAAGACAAAAGGCTTATGGGAAAAATGGCAGGCAGCAGGCTGATGTGCAGCCACAGAATACTGTGGTTACTCAAAACAGTATAACATGGTAGCCAAAATGGTATACAGAATATTAAGCATGGATACGCATATCCATGGTTGGCAAAACCGTGGTTGACGAGGGAAACCTGTACACAAAAAACACAGCAGACTTTGAAGTAAAGCATTAGTGATAACAAAAAGAACTGAAAATAAGTTCAATTTCCAGCTTTGGCATGAATTTGTGTGACCTGACACAAGGCATTTAAATATTCTATGCCTTGCTTTTCCTCTCTATGCAATAAATATATTGGTACTCAGCTCATTTGAAGAATTCTTTGACATCTAAGTATGACCTTGCTAAGTATTATCATTACAAATGTTTTCTAAATATATGTAAGTTTATTTTATATTACACAATATTTCCAGGAACTTCAGCACAAATTTCTGGGCTTAATTCATTATTTTATATCCTTAATTCATTCTTTTTTATCCTACATATTTATCATCCACTCATAATACTTATGTAGAAGTGATTTGTAACGCATTATATTAAGATAAAAAACACTGTTGATAAGAACTAAAATGGTCAGATTAAACATTAAACTAGGCTCGTTGGGGGAGGGGGAGGAAAAGGACCAAGGGAGCCACAGAACCAAGAGACACCCACAAGAACAGCCCAGCCAAGCCAGGCGACGAGCACAAGAAATACCCAGGTAAGAGACAGGAGCCCGGATAGTCCTGGGATTGGGAGGGAGGTGCCTACACCCCCAGGAGGCCTTAAATGCCTCTACACTAATGCTCGTAGTATGGGGAACAAGCAGGAGGAACTTGCCCTCCTGCTAGCTAACACAAACCCAGACATAGTGGGGCTCACTGAAACTTGGTGGGATCCAACACAACATCAAGGGCTATAGGATGTATATGCAAGATAGAACAGGGAGGAAAGGTTGGGGTGTGGTGCTCTACGTCAAAGAGCAATACACATGCTCTGCAAACAGCACTGGGCCTGAGGTAGGGCAGACTGAGGTGGCTCTGGGTCAGAATACAAGGGGGTCGGGGGGAAAGGGACCTAACGGTGGGGGTCTACTACGGGCCACCTAACCAGGGAGAAGAGCTGGACCGGGAATTCTCAGGTCAGCTCACGGAGGCAGTTAAGTCAAGGGACAAGGTCATCATGGGTGACCTGAACTACCCGGACATCTGCTGAGAAGAGCAGTCAGCCAGGTCTGACCGCTCACATAGGTTCCTAGCCAAGTTACAGGACCTCCATCTAACCCAGGAGGTGCACAGTCCCACCAGGGGAAAAGCCTTGCTGGACCTGGTCCTGGCCACAGGCAATGATCTGGTGAGGGGACTGTGGGTGCTCGACCACCTGGAGGATATCGATCATCACCTACTGGAATTTACCATCCAGCGCAAGGTGTCAAGGGCCTGCAGCAAGGCAGCAGCCCTGGACTTCAGGAGGGTGGATTTCAACGAGGTAAGCAGACTAGTCGGGGAGGCACTAAAGTCCCAGAGGGGAGGGGAGGGGAGTTGGGAGTCTAAGAAGGGTGGTCGTTCCTTAAGGAGACGATCCTCCAAGCCCAAAGCGTGACAATCCCCATGTGGATCAAAGGGGGCAAGAGTGCTCAAAAGCCCCCATGGCTCACCAAAAGCAAGTTGGAGTACGGTATCCAGTTCTGGGCACTGCACTTCAGGAGGGATGTGGATAGCACTGAGAGGAAACAGAGGAGGGCCACTCGCATGATCAGGGGGCAGCAGAGTAGGCCCTATGAGGAGAGGCTACGGGACCTGAACCTGTTCAGCCTCCACAAAAAAAGGCTGAGAGGGGATCTGGTGGTCATCTATAAACTTGGCAAGGGGGACCAGCAGGCAGTGGGAGAGTCCCTGTTCTCTCGAGCACTACTGGGAGTAACAAGGATCAACGGCCATAAATTGACTGAGAATAGATTCAGACTAGACATCAACAGGCACTACTTCACAGTCAGGGTGGCTAGGATCTGGAACCAACTTCCAAGGGAAGTGGTGCTTGCCCCTACCCTGGGGGTCTTCAAAAGGAGGCTAAACAACCACCTAGCCAGGGTCACATGACCCGAGCATCCTTTCCTGCCCATAGCAAGGGGTCAGACTTGATGATCTGCTTAAGTCCCTTCTGAACCTACCAACTACGAAACTATGAAACATGCCCAAAACTTTGGTGTGTAATAACCTCTCATAAATCTTGAAGTCAACAGAAAACTTGCGATTACAATTATATTCCATTTATGAACAAACTGTAAAATACACGTTTTTAGATTTTCTGTTTTTAAACAGAAAAACTCCAAGTAGAGGACAGCATAATGATGAATTTGCAGTGTTCACATAACCTCCTCCCTTTTTCCTTGGAATCCTGGATCAGCTATCAGACCATAAATGTAATTTAACTAGAATGACCAAGAGTGCATGTGTAGCAGAGAAAGCACGCCCATGCACGCACAATTCATCAAGTTACTTCTCTTTTTTCCTACCAAATACACCAAGTATAGACACACGCGCACAATCATACAACATGCATAGTTACCATCCTCTTTTAGACGTTTCCAGTTTATAAATTTTGTTTCTTTTTTACGGAGCTTATTCACTTGTGTGAACCTCAGAGCCTGGTCCTTCCTCTGCATTAATTGCTGCTCAAATGCAATCCTGAAGGCATCTGCCATTATGTAAGCTTCATCTTTACTTTTCTTCAGATGTTCAGTCTATTTGTAATTGAGAGAATGTTTAAGTTGTGTTAGAGAAGTTGGGAAGCCTAGACATATTAAAAAAAGGACGGACTACATCCATTAAAACCTTATAGCACCACTGCGTACTCTGTTGTGGTAACCCCCCTCAGCTAACTCACAATAAAGACTGGCCTGTACAAATGGATGGAGACAAAGAAGGAGCCAGCAATTTTTTTATTATTATTATTCTATGTAGGGAAGTTGTGACATTGGCACCTCCTTCCAAACAACCTTTTAGTGAAGCTTCCTTTCGAAAACAAGAATTATAGTTAGAAGGGAGCTCAAGAACCATGTAGCCCAGGGGTGGGCAAAATATGGCCCGTGGGCTGGATTTGTCCTGCCATGCCATTCTATCTGGCCCACAGGGCCCCTAAAAAAAATTAGAGATTAATATTTATTTGCTCCTGGCTGCCTGTCAGAACTGAGAGGAGCCAGGGACAGTAGGACCCAGGGGGAGCCCTCAGCAGAACTAAGCAGCCAAGCTCTACTCCACCCCCAGCCATTTCACTCTTTTCCTGCCCCTGCCCCTGCCCCTGCCCTGCTTGGGCACCTCGTGGCTCCTGGCTGCATCGCGAGACCAGGGAGCACAGGGCCTTGCCGTTACTTGTGCACGCACGTGCAGGCAGGGACAGCAGGTGTGCACACACGCTTGTAAGCAGGGACAGCAGGGGTGTGTGTTCATGTGCTTGTAGGCAGGGGTGTGCGCGCGCACATGTAGGCGGGGCAGTGGGGGAGTGCGCGCGTGCATGTGTAGGCAGGGGCAGCGAGGGGGGGTGTGTGTGTGTGTAGGCAGGGGCCATGGGGGGG